CCATCAAAACGCCTGCCATTTGATATAAATAAATATTTAAATCGCAGAATGGTTAAGATATGCCAATTGCGCCATTTATTAACCTATGATTTGCTATTATAATTGCCTTGTTCATTCGTCCGGCTTTGCCCTACTGTCTGATGTTAAAAACAGAACGATCCAATGATAGTGCATAGAGTCAACTTGTGGAAGCATAGTGCACACGCTTCAGAACCGAATCATCAGTCGGCCTCTAAATTGCAAAGATTCCAATATATCTTATTTGAACCTAACAAAAAATGTCAGTAGATCTAAGAACTAAAAGACAATATATCAATCACCAAAAACTACAACCATTATTAATAATGATACGTTATCTTACCTACGGGTTTAGTTACGTATCCTCCGACTAGAAGAAACTTATGAAACAAAAGATTGTTAATAGACTTATATAGCATTGTTATAACTGTAACGGCCTGGAAAGTGATACACAGAAATGACCTTCGAATCATAAAAACGAAACTATTAAACACTTATCTCTGTCAACATTTAGATCAGAAGCAGGAAATGACCGTAAACACGAATTATCATTTTGGAAAATCATTAACTTATACAATGAATCATTCAAGAGCCTTTGGAAATAATTTTTGATTTTCTCAAACAGGGATGGTCTAGAGTAGAAATTCGGTTGACGAAACTCAACTTCCAGCGAAAATCACACTCTGCAGAAACGAAAACTTTTCAGCTTTCACTTTCTTCTCCATAAAAACGGTTAGATAATCGCAATCTGTTTATTCTTATGTCCAACTCTTATATTTATTGGGCTAATTTGAAATTAGTTCACACCACGTTAATAATTCCGTCGATTGCTTTTAGGCAAATATTAGAGCTTCTGATCTCTTTGTGTTGACAATGGGCGGAACTTGATAACAACCAATCTCTACAAAAAATTATATTGTTAGACTGTAATAAAAAGAGCTTTGAAAGCAAATGTTTTAGTCAGTTCTTTTTAGTAAAGTACAAAATGTTACAATGTGACTACTTTAGATTAAACTTTAAATACAACAAGCTGTTAAAATTAATTTGTCCCATGATCGGTTATATCATTCCTCAGTGTCTTTTTAGCTTGTAATTGAAGCAATACAATACCTCGACAAATTCATTTAGAAACAATGAAAAATACTTTTCATGAGACATTATTCGTAATATCGGAGAAATGTACTTAATATTTCACTAACACTCAACCTTATTCCAACGGTCTATCAGGAAAATACTACTTAAAGCGTGGACGTTAGTAGAGAAAAAAGCACGCGAGGGAGCGAGTGAATATTTTTGCATTCCAGGATGGAGTTTTTTTGACTAAATAGTAGAGCTGGAAGTCGGTGAATAGGCAAAAGTACACTTCTATTTCAAAATGATATTTCTTCAGACTTCATGTTCGTTAGAGTTAAAATCTGGGCAACAAATTTAGAAGTGATTTCGTACTTACTCTCTTTTGAATTAGGTCGTGTATCTTCTATCTTCTGAACAAAGAGGCCTGTCAGACGGAGGATTATCTACCTGTTCGTGGTGATTGATCAGTTGTTGTTTTCACATCTTAATTTAATTGTCAAAGAGTCGATGACACCAAGTTTCCACACGCACAATTTCCCTTTTACATAAGCATTTTAAGTGTAGTTGGTGTTCAGTAATGCGAAGAATAGACTTATTTGCATAATTCATAATTAAACTTACTATTTCCAACCTTAACCAGTTCTCTGCGTGAGCAGATTTTTTGAGAAGAGGCATTGTACGACAAACCTTCGAGTCACTTTTTTTCTGCAAGAACTCTACCATTCATTCTTGGAACAGCAATTTGAAATAGCCTTTAATCTGTCATCATCCAACCTGCGAAAACGTAAAGAAAAAGTGGTTTAGTAATTTTTTTTCCATATCTTTGCTCGATCTTTAATTTGAAGGATATTCAAATTCTTTACAATACAGGTTTTATATCTTAAGAAGTGTGGTTTTGTAAGGTGCTTGGAGAAACACTGTCATGCATCAATTTTTTTGTTTTTACTGTCTAATCCTGCATTTGATAAAAATTTTAGTTTGATAACAGGTGAAAGCGCTCAGCTGATTTTCAAAGGAATTCCCACATAAAACTATCCAATAGGATTGAGGATTAATGATGGAAATTGCTAAACAGTGCAAATTGATTGTCGAAACGGGAATTAGTGTAATTTGGTGATATATTGATTAAGTTGACTTTTAAGGAAAGTATAGTTTTGCATGTGGAACTATGTATTTGAGTGTGACTTTTCCATAGTTCTCCATTTTGTCAAGTCAGGATTTCAATCACTCCGGGCTCCAACCAGGAAGCTAAATCTTGAACAGTTCATCACCAACCTCTACTTCCAATGAAATTGTTTAATATTTTTCTGATTATATATGAAGTCTATTTAGGTGTAAGATGTAATCTAAAATGCCAATCAGTAGCTGAGATGCGGATGTGCGCAATCACTGTCCTGTTTACGAAATTGACGACAACACCAGTAGCCCTATAGCCAGAGAGATAGAAAGCTGCTGGCAGTTATATAAATATCAAAACATACCTGGACGTACGTGTTTACGGACGGACTTTCGCTAACTCATCTTTTCCTCCGAATACGGCAGAGAAACTAAAAAAAATGAGGTCCTTATTACTTTTGTTCGTGTTTCTTCAAGGCATCAGTCTTATTAATGGACAGATAATGGCTCCAGAACTCCCCCAGAAATATAACCAAAAGAATTATGGACTTCTTTTCAAAGGCACCAACATGTGCGCTTATAAGAATGTTCAAAATGACGCTGGAGTCGTTAGCAAAGCTTGGATTTGTGGCCCAGTGGATGGAAAAGATAGGTAAGTCAATGGGGGTAGGGTGATTTCGACGCCTAATATTGAATTATATGCTTTTGAAACATCAGTCACATGGATTTGTTAACTCCTTTGGTGAGAAATTTTGAATACATTTTAATGCAAGAAACCTTTAATAAAATATCAGATAACCGAAATCGCGGATCTGTCATGCTGATCTGGCTACCATCAAAAAAGGCAATGACAGGATGGGATATCGTAATTAAATCAATTACTGAGTAAGCGCCAAGCTTAGTGGGCAAAAGTTTTTTCGATGATCCAAGTGGTGAATCAGAGAATTGAATTTCTTAAACGAAAAATATCCATGAAGTAAATATTTGCCAACTCATATCTAAAAAATAAATGTAGTGGAACCCAGCGTCTTTTGATTCCTCCCCATTTCCATTAATTGGATTCACCATCAACATAACGCCTTTTTTTCACAATGAATTATTTTAATTTTTTGACCTCCAGTGCTCTGCAATAAAGTAAATAATGTTTTGAAAAATTAATTACTTTCAACGCAGATTTACCTCTCTTATAAACACATCGTTCATGTCTGTTTATCCTCCGTGATAGTATACAGTTTTATCAATTTAAGTTTCGAAAACATGTGAAAGAGAAGCATTTTCTAAACATCCTCTAACCAGGCAATTATTTCAACCTTGAAATTAGGGGAATTTTTTGTTCGACACGTAGTGAGCTCTGGCACGTTAAGGTCATTTCCCGAGCCTTGGCAGAAAAACGACTTAAGGTGATGAAAGTGACTATCCGAATTCATCAACTGGTAGTTATGAGCCACACATCGTCAATTACGAAGCAGTACCAAGTAAAAATTATTGGCAAATCCCGCTTCTCGATTCGAATATACCAAAAAGTATACATTTAGAAATGACAGTCTCCTTGTCATTTTAACGAAAACCTTTCGTAAGACATGGTTTAGAAGTTATTACGAGCCTTTTGTTCGTATCTTTTCCACTTCTCTATTTAGTGCTAAATAGCTTTCCTCATTGCTTGCATTCAATAAAAGTTTCATTATGTTTCAACGTTGCCAAACTGGGATGGTGAACTGTGACAAGCCTACTGAATTTTAGTACTCTCTTGAATAAATAATGCCAAAGATTTTCTTAATCTCCAAACTAAAATTATATTTCCTCCTAGAATGTGCCCAAACGTATTCCTGATCGATTTTCAATAAAAACGCATTGTTTTGGTCACTTTCACAATGATCTAAAATGTTGTAAACCCATTTTTGTGGGGGATAGTAATCAATATGTAGTTAATTCGATCAAAGCCCGATCTTGACAATAAACCGAACACACATTGGCCCATAAAGTTTATGGATTAAAGGTGAAATAGACGTGCGTTTAACTGCCAATATAGTGCACAACTTAATCAAGAATTTTAATACCTAAGGTAAACACCAAACTTCAAAGACTCTAATGCAAAAATATCTTCGCATGCCTATTACAACCGGCTTGTTTACTGCCGGATCTTAGATCGCATTTACTGTGAAAATATGATTACATAACACGAGTTCCTATGTAAAATAATGATTCCTTAAACTTTTATGAATTCTCTTGAAAAGGCCTAAACCACAATCTCTATTAACTTGTGAATTTTCTTCCAGATGATCAATATGCTTCATCCTGATGTCAATCACGGAGATATCTTCTGAATTTGTGCAGTCTCCTTTGATATTACATATAAATTAGACATGATTAGAGAAATATAATGGTGGGAAAACCCCACGCTTTGTGAGAATTCAAATTAAAAGCTAAGAAAAATTGGAAAATAAATCCTCCTCAACTCAAGATACGGGTTTGACGCTACTTCCCTTCCGTAAACATTACATTTATTGTATTTGCCTACTGAGATAAACTCATATTTTAGCAAAATTTATTTATTTATATCAAATGGAAGGCGTTTTGATGGTTATCATTAGCCCTTAAGTTGACTTCAGGCTTCACAGAGGGGAAGGAACATCAAAATGAAAGAAATTCGAGAGGGAGGGGGGGGGGGGAACAGAAGAGTGTTTCAAAGACGAAGGTAGATGAAAGATGATGTGAATATGACATACAGTGGAATCATGGCAGTTTGAAGTCAGAAGTCAACTGCCGGTAAATAGACTTTTTTGCCTTATGAGTATACGTTGCCCAGGGTACACCACGAGGAGGTAAGTCTATGGCACATCCCACTTTAGTATAATTAAAAGCATAGTTCATCTTTGATTGGAAGGACTGTTTGGGATACCCTTATCCAAAGATTAAGTTTCTTTAAACATTAACTCACCTATATAATTGAAAAGTTTATCTCTTAATTCAATCCCACGTATTATCCAATGCACAAGCAGACAGGCAGCTCTTTATAAAAATGACCACTAAGTTGTAAAAGAACTTATATGGATACTTGAGTTAAATGCAGCATTTCTTCAAATATTTTAGCAAGATCACTTATGATTGCTGCCCTGGATATAAGCGAACGTCTCTTGTGAATGATGAGTGCGTTGAAAAGACTCCTACTTATATGCCGATCATTTCAACACTCCAAGATATGAAGAGGGATGAAACTACCGACGTTCTGCAACAACTAGAATCGGAATTGGATAAGAATGGAAAAGACTTCACAGTCTTTGCTCCTGAGGAGGATTATTCTATTCAATATATGTCAGTTTTGTTCTTTAAAGCAATTTAATTTTTGACAAGGTCTTTTCTGAGCTCTTCCACACTTTTAGCAAAGAAAATGATGCCTTGAATTTAATCGTTCCTGGACGGTATTATTCAGGATACTTCAAAAGTGGCACCGATATTCTGACAAAGACTGGCTACCCATTAAAAATTACCACTTACAATAATGGAGTAAAATAACCATTACAAAATTTTTTCAATATCTTTTCTAATTTATTCTGGGTAAAATTGAATTATTTATTACAGCTCGTCTTCGTTGAGTGTCAGCTACTTACAAAGCCGGATTTCGAAACCTCAAATGGTATCATTCATTTTACCAGTGGGGTATGTAGTGATTACTAATACCGATTTCTATTTGGACCATCTTAATGGGTTATTTTCGTACCTCAAATAGCCAATCAGCGCTTCGAAGAGCTATGGATCAATAATGGACAGACTACAATCTGATCCCGAACTTTCAGATTTTACAGCAAGTATTCCATCTGATCTTCGAAGACAGCTTAGTGCTGCCAACAGTAAGGAAAGGTACACTGTATTCGCCCCAATCAACAGTGCCTGGTCTGCTGCAAAGAGGGAAATCGGTGATCCTCAGGTAATGCTTTCAGACCTCCCATTTGTTAGTTGTAAACAACAATGATAATGCAAAATTTAATCTTCCTGTAGGGAGTTGCTGACCTTGTGAAGCAACACGTGCAAGATTCCTTGATTTGTGGTCTATCGATTGATGATCAGAATAGACTTCTCGGTCCCTCCAGAGCCAATACCTATATCCGCGGTAGTCAACAAGCCGATGGAACAAGAATTCTGATAGATTCCTGTGGTCGAAGAACAAATTTTGTAAAAATGGACATGATGGCAGGAAATGGGGTGGTTCACAAACTCTCCAACGCTCTCCAGAATCCTGGATGTAGGCATTTTATTCATTGTTGTGCCTAACTAATTATTGGGTTACTCGATTAGCTATATATTTCAAACAGTCGAACTAGAAGATATTTAGCTTTTGAGTTGAAGATTTTTAAGCTAGAGTCTTAGAAGTAAAGAATTTTATTCCATTTATCTGTTAATTCTAGTTTACTATGGAATGAATATTCATCTCCTTCCATTTTATTTTTGTTCGGTTCCGAAAGTATTCTATTATTATGAATCTTTAATAGCACTTTATAGAAGTAGCAGCAACCAAGTCCTGGAAGACCAAGCAGCAAATAGATTAATTAGAAAATATGGGAATGTGGGATCGAACATATCGTTCAGCGGACACAATGTTGGTTCTCTACAGTAAGGTCGTTTACCGCAGTAGTAACGGAAGGTATGGGGGGTGGGGGGGGGGGGGGGGGGGGGGGGGGGAAGAGGAGAAGAATTGTGATAGGAAGTCGAACAAATGTGAAGGTGTACGACTGTTGAAAATACTTCCTTTCGATCAACTACCATCCACAGTGACAAATCACTACTTCCCCAATCGGGATTAGATTAATATTTATAACAGGGGGAAAATATCTGTCAAGTCTGCGGGCATGTAAGTCTGCCTTCCTTCCCTTCCTTCATTTCTTAATTTGAATTAGTTCTTATTGGTATTCAATGGTTTGGCAACCTTTTCTAATGGATCAATAGGTTAGTATCTCAAACTCCCCATTGTCTCCTTCGTTGAAGCCTGGGCATGAAATTATTTCAAGAATACTTTGACTTAAGTAAACAGACAGTCACCTCAGTCTTGCGATCCAACGCTAAGTTTACATTTAATCCATTTTTTTCGTTTTCGTTGTGATTGACTGCTGTAGATTATGGCACTTTTACCTTGACATCATGAGTCGATTGTCTTCTGTTATATCTTTTTACTGGTTTTGCGAAATTACTGTACTTCCGAGTCCTCTCATGGAATGCAGCTTTAGATTCGGTGTTTTCTTTTCTTATGTAGGAAAGTATCAACAGAGGATTTGCATTTATTGGTTAAGGGCACTTGTGAAAAGGTCCGATTTTCACTTCAAATTAAATTTCACTTAGTCAGTTTGCTTGAATTAGATGGCTTCCACCTTTGGATAAAAAAGTGGTAATCATTCATGTGTCATAAAATATCTGACTCATCTGGTGGGAATGGCAAAGGAGTAAAGCACGCCAAACCCTTCGGTATACTTTTCATTATCCTTTGAATATAGCAATGAACCTGAAAGATGCCTTGAATTGCCTTGCAAACGGTCCGGATAAGGAGCTGAATCAAGCTGCTAAGGAAATGGCTGGCTGTGGTATTTCCCTTCAATCAAGTGACAATGCAGTAGTTCTACTTCCAACTTCCGATGCTTTGGCCAGTGAGTCAAGTTTCTACTAATTGTTGAAAATTGCAATTTTTATGTTTTTTTTTAATTTTCTATCGTATTTTATCATCGAATTCAAGTTTACAGAATGAAAATGCTTACCTCTATATTTAAGTGACAATTTACCAATAAATAGATATAAAATCGTTTGTGTGAATGGATATATTTTCAATCAGAAGATTTCGAAGTGTTAGGGAGTGGTAACGAAACTGACCTCTTCAGAACAAAAATCAGTTCAGTTCATCTAGTTGACTAATATATCATTTTAAATATTAAGTAATTGTAAAATGGTGTCAGCTTTAGCACAGTTTTCTCACTTAAAATCAATCTCAAAAAATTTCTAACACACAAAGTGGAAAGGTTAGAAGATCACTTCCAATGAAACCAAAGAATCTCTCAATCGGATGTTTACTTAAATTAGCTGAGGTGGTTATAAATTAGCTTTGTTTCGTCATTATCATTATCATTAGCCCTTAAGTTGACTTCAGGCTTCACATAGAGAAGGAGGAACATCAAAGTGAAAAAAATCGAGAGGGGAGGTTGGGGGACAGAAGTGCTTCAAAGACGAAGGTAGAAAAAAGGTGAGGTGAGTACTGTGATTGTAGTCGAATATGACGTACAGTGTGGTGACGGTAGTTTGAAGTGGGAGGTCAACTGCCGATTAATAGACTTTTTGCCGTATGAGGGAAGGAACATCAAAGTGAAAAAGTCGAGAGNGGAGGTGGTAATTTAGTAAATTAAATGATCTTTATTTACATTATAAATGGAGATTAATGAGCTAAAATAGTTTATGGTAAAATTTGCTCGCCTAAAGCTTCTTATCTATAAATCGATAAACGAGCTCTGAGAGGTNGGGGGGGGGGGGAACAGAAGAGTGCTTCAAAGACGAAGGTAGAAAAAAGGTGAGGTGAGTACTGTGATTGTAGTCGAATATGACGTACAGTGTGGTGACGGTAGTTTGAAGTGGGAGGTCAACTGCCGATTAATAGACTTTTTGCCGTATGAGGGAAGGAACATCAAAGTGAAAAAGTCGAGAGGGGGGGGGGGACAGAAGAGCGTTTCAAAGAAGTAAAAGAGACAGACACAAAGTTGGAAAAAAGGTGAGGTGAGTATGGTTGAAATAGTCGAATATGACATACAGTGGGGTGATGGTAGTTTGAAGTCAGAAGTCAACTGCCGGTTAATAGACCTTTTTGCCGTATGAGTATACGTTGCCCAGGGTGCACCTCGTGGAGGTAAATCTATCGCACACCCCAATTCAGTGTCTCATTGTTTACGCATGTAGCGCACTGCTACACAAAAAGTTCGTGGCTTATCCTATGTAATCTCTTTGGCCAGATCCGCTCAACGATATATAGAAAATAGACGTGCGGTGTGGGCAAAACGCTCATTATGGATGAGCATGTGGTACAGCGCATAGCCATTAAAATATAATGAAGGGTTTATTAAAAATCCATGGACAATTCATTGGTAGCTGGCTGAGAAGTCTCTGCACTACGACCGCACCTTCGAGTCCGCCTGAGTGTACATGATATTTCTTTGTTCAGCTATGATAAAGTTTAGCACTCCACACAACATTAAATCATATAGTTAAACCTGTTCAATTGATTTCACCTTGACAGTATTGCTGTTCTTAAAGTTTAATTTAATTAATTTAATTTAACAAAGTTAAAATTATAAAGGCATGCCGAAATCTTGTGAAAACAGCGACATTTTTTAAGACTAAATGCTACAATCTTCGTGTTAAAGAAATTTGGAAAATTCTACCCCCCCCCCCTTTGTGAATTAACTTACTAGCGTTCCCATTTATAGCATATTTGAAACAAACTGAAAATTATGAGAATATCCTGCCTTAATATTAGTAACAGGTTATAATAGAGATAAATTAAAGCTTCAATGGGTTTCACCAAAGTTCGAAATCCTGGTGTCAAGGAGTTAAAATGATTACTCCAGTCATCCGATATTTAGCTTGGAAATACAGAGGATAATACAATAACCATTTATTTAACTACCATTGAAGCTTATTTGTTTCCTTTTTTCTCAATAGAATCCTCTGTTAGAGGTTGTGCTCTCTATCAAAACCATGTACTCACTTCCACTGACTGCAAAATGAAAAACGGGCATGGAATTGGCACACCTCAAGAATGTCACTACACCAGTCAATATGCAGCCTCCGGTGGTCGCCGTCCAACTTTCACTAATCAGTACATTCGCACTAGAGAGGGAAGCACTGTGAGCAAAGCACTCTCTATTTGACTGTATTTGTATAATGTAAAGCCACTTTAAACTTCTTCTTCTTCTTTCAAGCTTCATTTTGGCAAGGCAGAGACTATCAACTTGAAACCAATCGCCTTCCGTGGTGGTGTTATATTCTCAGTTAAATCCACCAATTCCCCACCGACTAAAACAATGCTGGAAGTCATTCGAGAGAATCAACAACTCAGGTTGGTTAAATTGAGTTATCCAACTTGACAAACGTTTAAAGAGCATATTTGATCCACCAGCTTTGGTTTCCTTTTTGGAATAAGTCAAGCCACTTACTTATATAAGTCATTCCATTACAAATTCACCTAAGCTAGTATCAACTAGAGAAACCGAGGGAAAAAGTATTGCTTAATAATAGAGCTCGATGAGGTCGGTATGTGGATTGCGCATTATACATATTATGCTCTTTTCCATCTTATCGGTCTATTGTTTAGCATAAAAGTTATTTCCATTTAGCGACACTTATGAGAAGATGCAAAAGGCAGGATATACTAGCATCATCAATCAGCAATCACCGAATGTGATCTTCTTTGCTCCCATTAACCTTGGCTGGAAAAATAGGGACAAGGAGAATGCGTACAGTTCAAGTCAGCTGAGAACTGTGAGCATTTACGTTAGCATTCAATATTAGCGTCGTACTAGTAAATGAAAGTAAACTGCTTATCTACCCTCTGCAAGCTCTTTGAGATGCACACTATCCCACACCAACTGATCACCGGAGTGGATGGAAATATTGAATCGGAGACTGTTCAAGAAATGCGATCAATTTCAGGCGATACTTTGAAAATCAAACGAACTTTGAACGGAAATACATTTATTGGCTATGATGGCTTGCCATTTGACCACTGGGTGTGTTACGTTTGATATAATTTTCTGAGTGGTTGAATATTTAATTCGAACTTATTAAGTTATTTATCATTTTAGGCATTGGCCTTTGGCGCTCCAATCGTCGCTGTCGACGGCGTTGTTCAGGTTGTGGATTGGCCACTTGTCTGTAAAAGGTGCTAAAAATAATTAAGTAACCGGAGTAAATTATTGAGTATTTCCATTGGAACCCCCCACCATAGACCACTATAGTAATTTTCCTCACCGCTTCGTTCTTCAACCCGGATTTCGCGTTTTGAGTTCCTGTCAATTATTTCTTGCTATTGATGATATTAACCCAGTGATTTGTTCTTTTGTCTCTGTTAGTAATAAACTAATCTTTATGAACCGACTTACTGTGAAAAATAAATATATTGACTTTGAATAGTAACATTTTAGCTTTTTCAAATATCAAAGACTTTCAAAATTTATGTTAATTTTTAAATGCACAAGTCATTAAAATTCTAATCTAATAATAATCTAATTATATATATATATATATATATATATATATATCTATATATGCATGCGTCAGTTATTATAGACAATGAGAAGATATACGGATAAATAATCAGTTTTCTTAAAAGAATATTATAATAATATCATGATAACGATTGCCACACCTCCAAAGGTCGACTAAAACAAAACCGAACAACGGCATTTCAAAGATATTCTTCGGTTAGTGCACATATGTGAAGCACATCTTTATAAATTTTCAATAATGTCTGGTTATTGAAGATTAACATCTGAGTAGGGATTTATGAGAATTAACCCACAGTGTGTGATATTGTCG